GCGCATTAATTACAAAACTTAATCTTTCATGGTGTTCTCCGAATTCTGACAGATGTAGAACTCGTTTTTCACCTCGTCTGAACTGCAGTCAGTGGGGGCGTAGGCAGATACAACGGAGAAGCAACGATGGGTGTCCCTATCTTTCCGAGTCCTTACTGTCCCGTTCAGTCAGACGGCGCACAAACGACTATCTACAGGGATCCAGTCTAGGAGCGCCAATTCTGCCCTACGACTCAATGCTATACCTACACCAGCGAGACCCCATGAAGCACCATCAGGGTTACTGGATACACGAAGAGTAAATCTAGCTGCTTCTTCATTTTGACGAGGTGAAATCAGATTAATGACTTTACTAGGATCCTGTATACGCGTTTCCGAGACGCAGCATACATTGATTGTGTGAGATTCTAATGTTCTAGCTAAGGAAGCCTGTTGACCTATTTGACACAATGTCCGTACATTAAATGCTCCAACATGTAGACTAGAACGAGGTTTCAAAAGACCAGGAATGACGTTTTGTGAACTCGCATCGTTTGCATTAACGGTGCAGTCAGATAAGGGAATGTAAGTAGAGTTAGTTGTGGAGAGGCGAGAGGTATGTGTGGGTGTAGGAAGGATTTCATTTCGACCAAATTGGTCTCTCGTGCTGTTACGGGTATGAGGGCGGTTGTCACTTCCCGGCTGCCCGCACCGTGGAAGGTTGTTTCTTGAGGGACCTGAAAAGGAAAATAGATCAGCGTTGGTCTTGGAGACCTGGGTGCTTGACCGCAGAGCCCAAGGGACAACTGCGTGAGGCCGGTCACGCACAGCATTTTTATGAGGTTTTTTGAGTATTAGCTCCGCTCTCGAAACCTCTTAGTGGGCAGCCCTTACCGCCGGAGACGGAAATCCGTGAAGTAGGGTGAGGTGTGACATTTTTAGGGTCGACCTTTTCTAACCCTTCCTTCCTTGTGAGAAGGCAGCGTCGCTGCAGATGCTGGTTATCCGAGGGAAACACCTTACCGCTGTCACACCCCTGTGCAGTCAGTAGTACGACTTCGTCCTCAGACCTTGGGTAGCTGCTTTTAGTCTCATCGTTCTCCAATCGACCTGCCTGGTATGGTTGAACCTTCAGGAACATATGTTCCAGCCAGTATAGCTCGGTTGGGTCATCACGAAAGGCCAGCCCGACCACCACGTCAAGGTAGCAGCTACGGTCGGGTCTCTCAAATTCTAACCTTCTAAATTCCTCATCATCTCTAAATTTCGCTTTCTAAAGTTATCTCACTGAATTATACCTCTCGAATCATCAGTGTTCATGAATAACAAACTTAATCAGATACAACACAACATACGCCAACCAAATCACTCTTAATGGAGATGCTTTGGAAGACAAAAAAGCCTTTACATATCTAGGCAGCATCATTGACAAGCTAGGTGGATCTGATAGAGATGTGACGATATGGATTGTCAAATAAAGGGCAGTATTTCTACAGTGGAAAAACATTTGGAACTCAAAACAACTGTCTGTCAAACAACACCAAAATCAGTAGTTTCAATACTGATGTCAAGAAAGTTCTGTTGTATGGAACAGAAACTTGGAGAACTAGAAAAGCTATCATCCAAAAGATACAGATGTTTAATAATACTTATCCACACAAGATACTTCGGATCCGTTGGCAAGACACCAATCAGCAACACCCTACTACTGTGAGAGAGGATAAAGTGGATTACAGTTCGGGAAGAAATTACGAACAAGCGCTGGAGGCAGATAGGACACATATTGAGGAAAGCAAACAACAATCAGCAATCACATGGAATCCTCAAGGCCAAAAGAAAAGAGGAAGATCAAAATACACTCACTATGCCGAGAATTGGAAGCAGACATTAAAAGAATAAACAACAGCAATTTTGGTAGAACTGGAAAGGGAGGCCTAGGATAGAGTTGGTTGGAGAATAATATCTTCTTATCCTAATGTCTCTTCGATTACTGCCAATATATTTTACTACTTCGACTATTAGGCGATTTGAATTGACAATTGCATCTCTCTGTGTACTAATGTGTTATGGCAACTTGAACACTGATGTACGTGCATACGTACGAAGTTCTACAGTGCTGTTGATTGACCTCATAAATATGACATAATAGTCGTAATATTTACTATTCAACTATTTTCTAGATTGCTTTGTAGGGAAAAATATAAAAAAAACCTCATCTCCAAGCAAAAGGTTACCAGAAAAATTTTAAAATCACATAAAAATCTCAGTTTCATTAAATTCATTGTACACACTTATTCATTTTATTTTTAATATGCTCGTCAGTTGATATGCTTGAATGCTATTACGAGTTCACCTTACTCTGTGAACGAGAGCGAAGACAAATGATGCAATGACACAATAGGCTAATTTAATCCGATTGTCCCCTGCCCAACTGATTATATCAGGCGGTCTTGATATGGCGTAGAAAGTGTATTCTATAAGCACTCAGAAAATACGAGGTTGACAAGCACACAAATCGTGTTAATTTATACATCATAGAAACATCTTTGGGAGAGACCGACAAAAATAGCGTACTAAAACAATACATCAATCAATAATAGTTAAGGATTTTCCCAGTTGGGAAATGTAATCTCAAGGTCAACTGGGCAGCCTGTTCGCGAAAATATAAAAAATCCGAAATCAGGACCTTTTCGAAGTGAGTTCTGGGGATCTAACGTCCCCAACAATTTTAAAATGTGACTGATTATTATTATTTCAAGTTAATTAGAATTTTAACTCCGCCTAGAACCTTTTTGGGTTTACTGCCGGCTCTGAGCCCCAATGAACGAGGAGCATTTGGACATGGAGCTAGCTATCCCATCTCGTAGAAATCTAACTTATTAAATAAAAAAACGCTAACCAGGAAAAACAATTAGCTAATCGGCGCCCTATACTCCATTGAGGATAAACAGGTGTAAATGAGTAATTAAAAATGTTATTTTATATAAATTTATCAACAGAACTAGTAATAATAATAATAATATTATTTATCGCTTACTTTAAATCTCGTTCAAATAAATTACAACAATCAAAACGTGGTGTAATTGGTTGGTCATTATTATGCGAATTATGTAAACGTACAGCCATAGTTCGTGTACTTGTTACAATATGTGTATAATCTTTTAATCGTCGAGTTAATTGTGCAGTGAGCTGTTAAGAAAAAAATGTGTACAGAAAAAAAAAAAGAAACGATGAAAATGATTTAGGGGTTATGATTGGGTTTGAACTACTCAACATTTACTGGTTATCACAATGATAAATTTAGTTGTAAAAATAGACGGAAACGAATGTAAAAGAAGTTACAAAGATGAATAAGTGAACTTTTAATATATCAGAACATTATAAGTATTAGGATATTTATCAACTGGACAGTTAGGACGCAGCTGGACGATCTGGACTTCGCAGATGATTTGGCTCTTCTATCGCACACGCAACAACAAATGCAAGAGAAGACGACCAGTGTAGCAGCAGCCTCTGCAGCAGTAGGTCTCAACATACATAAAGGAAATTGGCAAAATTCTCCGATGCAACACAATATGCACCAACCAAATCACGCTTGATGGAGATGCCTTGGAGGACGTTAAAACCTTTACATATCTGGGCAGCATCATCGACAACCAAGATGGATCCGATGCAGATGTGAGGGCACGGATTGGCAAAGCAAGGGCTGCATTTCTACAGTTGAAAAATATCTGGAACTACGCAAAATACTTCGGATTCGTTGGCCAGACACCATCAGCAACAACGAACTGTGGGAGAGAACAAACCAGATTCCAGTGGAGGAGGAAATCAGGAAGAAGCGGTTGAAGTGGATAGGACACATACTACGAAAAGCACCTAACTGCGTCACGAGTCAAGCCGTCACATGGAACCCTCAAGGCAAAAGGAAAAGAGGAAGGCCAAGGAACACATTACGCCGAGAAACAGAGAAAGATATGAGAGGAATGAACAAACATTGGACTGAACTGGAGAGAGAAGACCAGGACAGAGTTGGTTGGAGAAAACTGGTGAGCGGCCTATGCTCCATTGGGGGTAACAGGCGTAACTAATTAAGTAAGTAATCCTGAATAAATTATTTTGTAGGTCTAATTCTGTTGGACAATTCCTATTGGTGAATATTTTAGGTCGTCCTAAACTATCAAGTTCATATACTTGTAAATCTTATTTCCTATTGGTTAGCATTCATTGTATAAATATGCATTGTCTGTAAAATTTTATTCTCTTCTTCTTCTTCTGTACAAAACCTCATATTTTCTGGGTACGTGTAGAATACACTTTCTATGCCATATCAAGACTTTTTGATATCGTTAGCAGAGCTTTGGGACGGTCGGATTAGAATAGCCTATCGTGTCACTGGAACATTTGTATTCGCTGTCGTTTACTGACTAAGGTGAACTCGTAATAGATCATCAAGCATATCAATTGACGAGACATAACAATAAGATTAGAAATTAAAAAAGCATTACAATTCAACTACTTTCAGATTTACTATTTTGTATTATCGATATTGAATACTAATGTCAAACATTGGAACCGTTTATGGTTATTTTTGATTAATATACAGTTGTTATAGTTTCTATGACTGATTGTCACTTGTTATTGTTACATTAAAACGTATTTACTACACGTTACGCTCGAGTTTATTTAAACATGATAGTAACGTCCTTGGGAGAGCCACAAAATAGCATACTAAAATAATAAATACATCAACCAATAATAGTCAAGGATTTTCCGAGTGAGAAATATAATCTCAAGATCAACTGATCAGCCCATGCGCTAAAACATAAAATCCGAAATTAGGACCTTTTCCGAGTGAGTTCTGGGGATCTAACGTCCCCAACACTACATTATTTTATTAGACAATGATGATTCTGTAATTGAAATGGCAAAGTAAAAAATCTAGACCTTTGTGTTTAAATAGTAGAATGGCAGAACTGTAGAAGCCTCTAATTGGTACACATATCTTTGTTTTTGATAATTCATACGTGATGAAAGTACACGATTCTTATAAAATCTGTGTATGATGATTATATTACTACTTATAAGTAATTCAACTTTTATTTCAGAATTTCGTTTTGCATATGAGTAGTGGTTAGGTTAAAACTATTCTGTAGAACGACTATAAGATATTGAACTAGTTTAAGCGATCAAAAAATCAGTAGATATGAGGAAAAATAATAAATTACAGTGCACAACGAAGCATACAGATATATTGATTTATCATGATGAATTAACTTTTTCTTTGAATTGTATATAGGTTCATTTGAGTTAGAATCATGATGATACGGTGGAAGGGGATAAGATTTTGGGTTAGTTTATCGATATGATGACTTTTATGCCTAAAACCTACTTCAAAACCATAATCTAAAATGTACACCCATAAATAGCGGACGGTGAAATCACAAATAAGTTGACTGAGTCATATTGGTAAACGTAAGCTACCGGGTTTGGGGTCCGCGAGACGAAAGTCATCAGTGGTTAGAGATCATGAAAGACATGACTCAAAACAGTTTGCGATCGCGCAGGTGTACTCATTTATTGTGTTCTGTTAAATTCTAACCTTCTGAATTCCTCATCATCTCTATCTTTCTCTTTCTAGATTTATCTCACTGAATTATATTTCTCGAATCATATCTTCGAACCCTATTCTTCTCCATTACTCCTAATACTACTGAGCAATGTGACGTTTAGTATTTGGTGAAGATTTAATACTAGAATCGTATTTAGTAACAGATTTTTAAAAAAAAATCGATTTAACTGAATTGAAGAGATTATACATACACTAGCCGACAAATTTCCATAACTAGAAATCACCCCCGCCCACATAGAATTGTATTGAAAGGTTTAAACGTCGTCTTTATTGTCAAGGATAAACAATATTTATTCTGTCTGAGTTGAGAACAACGAGGATAGTGCAATCTCTTTATTACATAATCATTGGAACTGGCAGACAGGCCAACGGCTTCCATAAGATTATCAAGCGGCAACCACTGTCAACAGCAATGCAGAACTTCGTACGTACTTACACCAGTGTTCAAGTTGCCATACCACATTAGCACACAGATGTAATTGTCAATTCAAATCCCTTGGTAGTAGAAATGGTAAAGGTGTTAGCAGTAATCGGAAATTTTAGGGTTCGAGAATATGATTTAACTAGTAGATTCTATTGAAGTAAACTTAAAAGAAAAAGATAAAGTGATGAGGACCTCTGAAGATTAAGATTTGAGAGAACACAAAGAATGAATGCACCTGCGTCATTACAAACTGTTTTGAGTCATGCCATTTTGGGTCTCTGACCACATATTGCTATCATCTCGACATTTAACAACATGACTCAGTCCACTTGTCAGTGAATTCATGGATTTATTGCATGTTTTGGTTTGGCCGCCCCTAG